TGAAGTCAGGACAATTTTACTTAAGACTCACACTTGGACAGACAGATGTGGTAAAAATGCCCCACATAGTTGAGAATCAGCATGGCATTTCTGTGGTGGTCTAGACCGTGGATAGGAATCTGGACATATCACAACACAAAAATGGCCATAGCAGTAGAGAGAGATGATACAATTAATTGATTGCAATGAAATTGAGAAGAGTACAAGATAGCAAAGGCCAGAACATCATGGAACAGTCACTACAGGGGAAGGGTTCTAGAAGAGTCAGAAAATTAGTCTTGAATGGGCCAGAGGGATAATGGAAATTAAAGTAAGAGTCTCCAGAAGGAAGAGGAAAAAAAAAAAAAAAAGCAAAGATAATTAAAAGGAATAAAATAATTAAAGAAAAAATAAAGTTGTGGACGTTTTGCGTCAGTCTTTCTAGGACGTTGCAGTTTGATGGAATGGAGTAATCCAGTTTTTAAATGTTCCCAGGGCCACAGCTAAAGTGGCACAAATCATCCCTCTCATGCCTTGCCTCTGCTCAAGGGAGAAATAAAATCTGACAAGCCTTTTTCTTAAGCAACACACTTTCTTTAAACTCTCCCACAGGGCCCCACCTGAACCTACAGTACAGTGGACAGTTTTCCTAAGCTGGGCACAAGGGTTAGACTGAAACCCTTACCAACCAGGCCTGGAACGACTGTCGTAGAGTATGCCAAAAATTCCAGCTCTCTGATCTGAAAACTTTTAGAAATTGCTTATCTTTTGTCATGGTTCTCTAACCAAGAACATATGAGAACAGGGTTCAAAGAATTATTGCTTTCTAGTAATACTAAATCAATACTAAATATAGAACATAAACCTATTGGGTTTAAGGATCAAAGAACATTTGTGTTCAATTGTCTAAGCTATGAAATGACACGAAGAGCAGTCTATGACCACTGCAGCTGAAGTTACAGGAAGAGCTCTCTAATGCAGCGGTACTATTCTGCTGTCTCTCCTTAAAGAGTTATTTCATGAACATATGAAACAAGTAAAAGGAAACATGATCAATGGTTGGGCTATTGGTAAAACATTAAAAATTATTTTTGCAACATACATCTGACTTAGATCTTTTAAAATAAAAGTTGTTTGGTTAACATCATACATACCTAATTAGTGAAAAAATGTGATTTTGAGTAAGAAAAAATAATTTCTATGTGGCATCAGTTCATCTTTGACTCTATCCAACTTATTATTTCAAAACTTTCTTCGTGATTGGCCAGCATAATTGAATATTTGTTTTTATCAACAGGTTTTCACACATGCAGGTAAACTATTGCTTGAAATTGTTAAAATATATTTTTAAAGATTTATTTGTTTATGCATACAGAACTGGGGTACAAGCCAAAGGTTCAGGGGCAGCAAAAGGATCACCAGAGACAGAGTGGGGAAAAGAACAGGCAGACAGATGAAGTACTCTGCTGAGGGGAGCAGCGGGCAGGGCAGGAGAAGTCTGCCGTGCCATGTGGATCACCTCCAGGGTGGGCGGGGATTGAACTCATGCTGCAGTGGCTTTAGCTTCTTGATGCTGTGCTTTAACCTGCTGCGCCACCAGGGAGGACCCAAAATATATTTTTAAAAGACTGGATAGTTTCACTCATAGGAGCATAAAGGACGGGGAGGGAAGGACAATTGAAATAAAGAAAAAAACAAAAAACAACTATATACCAGAGACATTTACAGGGGTGGAGTGGGGAATGGGATCAAAAACGGTGGGGGGAGGGAAATGTACTGGACTATGATGACGGCACACGGGTGATCTGGTGGTGGGAAGCCCACAGGGATTACAACTGAGATGGAAAAGGCACAAAATGATGTAAAAATAAGCTATGAGAAAAATAAATATATTTCTCTAGCAAATGAGCTAAAAACATGATATGTACATGAAGTCAGTTTTTCTGGTTCATCTTAGTTTTATTCAAGGATAAAACTCATTGCAAAGTGAAAATTCCAATGGCTCTATAGTGTTACTACATCATTAACACTGTTTGACAGCATCATGGTTTTTGAACTATCACTCAACAGATAAAAGTCAGAGGAATTTTTCAACAAACATTACATGACTCAAGTGCACTGAATCAAGTCACACAGGGCTGGGACACATGGAGAAGCAGATTCCACCTGGCAACAATGAACAGTTAAGGGAATCTGCTATTATCAGAAAGCAAGAGGAAGGGAAACCATTCACTACCACTAGGAAAAAAGTAACAAAACCTTAACCTTTCACAAATGAAGTACAGTCCAATTTTCACAGATTATTAATATTCCACTTTGAGATACACTTGGTATGAGCTTATTAACAAAATCAAAACTCCACAGTCTTTTCTATAGTGTTTATAGTTTTTTTGGTCCACATATGTAATATATTTACTTATAGGAGTGCCTATGTTGAAAAATGTTTTTCTAAAACTCTTCATTTTAAAAATACTCCCTTGGTGAGGAGATGCCAGGGTGCTTAGTCCCTACAGAAGGACTTTTCAATATTTTGAAAAACAATTTGTATCAAGAGTTTAAATTTCACTTCTGGAAATTTAGCTTAAGAAAGTACTTGCAGGGCTTCCCTGATGGCTGTAGATGTTAAATCTCAGGCTGTTACCACAAAATCCTGAGTTGGATCCCAGCCTAGGAGTTGACCCACATGGCACAGCAGACCTCCCCTGTGTCGCCTGCTGCTCCCCTCAGCAGTGTATTTCAGTCAATATGCCTGTCCTACTCCTCACTGTCTCTGGTGAATCCTCACTCCCTACCACCTCTGGCCTACACTCCAGTTCTTCTACCCCAAAATCTTAAAAAAGTAAGTACTTGCATAGGAACATGAAGATGTTGAGAATAGACAAAACAAATTCCAGTTCATCCATACAGCACAATACAATGGGAATGGCTAAGCAGAATGAGAAATCTAGTTATGGTGACACCAAGGAGTGCTATTCAAGTGAAAAGAGACAAGCTGAAAAACGATAGGTGCAGCATGATCCCACCTATGCTTAAATATATTAAGCTAAATATGCACCCAGGCAAATACTGGGAAGTAGGAGAAAGTAGAGAAAGGCATGATAGACTTTCACAATTTTCTATTTTTGCATAGATATATTTTAATTTTGTATAATGGTTACCCATTACTTTTTTAATTGAGGTAAATTCATAATATAAAATTCACCCTTTTAATGTGTATAATCTATGATTTTTAGTTTATTCACAAAGTCGTATAAAATGTTGTGACATCACTCATTCTAGACATCTTCATCACCCTGAAAAGAAACGGCAGAAACTGCCTACCTGTTTACAGTCACTTTTCACTCCCTATCCCGACACCCCTGGAAACCACTAATCTACGGATTTGCCTCGTCTGGAACTTTCATTGAAATGGAATCATATCCTATGTGATTCTTTGGGCTGGCTGTTTTAGGTTTCCAAGGTTTATCTACATCATTGCCATGTATCACTGCTTCATTGCTTTTTATGGCTATATGTGACTTTTATAAATTAAAAATCTCATAAACAGCTGATTTTAAAAACATCATAAACAAAACCCTTTTGTAAAAATCACTTTATAGACAATAGCTCTAAATCCACTGTCTACATCAACTGTTTGTTTATTTCTGCTTGTCCATTCCTAACACTCCCTTGAATGTCTAACTCTCATGTCTGTTTAAAAGATTATCTCTTCAAGCAGTGTTTTTGTTTTCACCTCTTTATTAAAGTATTTTTGTTCACATAGCACCACCTAGGTGCATTTTCCATGTCTTCCTACCATTGTCCCTGCCCACAACAGGAAAACACACAGCCAGAGAGAGGTTACAGAAATCTTTTGACAAGGACTCAGGTCCATTTGATTGCCTTCAGCAAACTGACGACAGGCAGAAGATGTCTGTGACAGGGTGACACTTTACCTAACATTCACGGTGACTGGTATTTATAGTTTTCACCTTCTGAATGAATATCAAGTATAAATGTTTGCCTTCTATTGTTAATGTCTAGCCATCTCATTATGTGAACCAGGCAAAATTACGTAACATGTCTTTGGTTGATATATAAAGCAGCATTCGTCTCCACAGGTGATGACTCAAATATATAAATATAAGAGAGACTGAGGTTTTTACTCTAAAAAATATGAGCCAGTCACTTAAATTCTACCAGATTTATGTTTTGGAGTGATCTCAGCAACTGCTAAAGGTTGCAGTGAAAACTAAAAAAGGAGGTATGATTCTATGTCTCTGAATTACACACATTGTTGTAGACAAGAGAATGCCTGATTTTAATGGTGGTGATGAAAAGGAAAGTAAACAATCTTAATTTAACATGCACGTGCCACATACTATCCACTAATTCTAATGCGCAGTAAGTGAAGTGTACCATCTTATAGTTCAGCACCAAGTGGAACCTGTGACATTTACTATTTCTACCTATTGAATAGGAATGTAGGTTAGGAGTTTTGCATATGGAATGAGCATATTCCACTATTTAAGCTTGGGCTTCTGCTCTGAATATGACCACAGCAATCTATAAGCACTGTACCAGAAGTTAAGTTGTTAGTGGTAATGCAAATAATTTAAACCTAAAAGGTAGAATCTCTTTATAAGAAGGTTATTAATCTTGTGCCCTTATCACCAATCAAATATACCAAATTAGAAGTTTTGGTTTATTTTCAGAATTACCTTCTAGTAACTAGGTTCCAGCAGATGCAATTAAGTCACAGGTATTTGAGCTGTGTTAATAATGAAAGAACCAAGATATGACACAGTTTTACAGCACTTGAAAGGCTGCCATTTCTCCTCATGATAAAACCTTTATATCGTGAAACTTTGAACTTAACTCAAATTCATTTTTCTCTTTACCATACCGTTTTTTTTTAGTGACAAGGTATCAAATAAACCAGGCATTTGACCTTAAAATAAATTAAGAGTAAAAGGAACACAGTACTATTCCTGTTACAAATTTCATTATACTCTTTCACAAAAAAAGACATACATGCAAACATGAAAGTCATAAGTCATTTATTGAATGAATAGTATATGCAAGGATATCAATAAAAGGAAACTAATACTACAAACTACAATTTTGAAAATAAAGCCAATATAACAGGAACAAAATATACATAACATGAGAGGAATGTTTGATTTTGACCCATAATGCATTCCTTATCTTTACAATTAACCTAAATGTCTGTTAAAACAAAACTGTATACATTGGTCTAACTTTAGCGCTTTTAAAAAAAAGCAACAACATTCTAGAACACTTTTCCTTTGCTTTGAGATACTTAAGATTCACACATTTGTTCAAGTACATAGATTCTGATTCAACAGTAGATCTACATAGCTTGTTATTTTCTTAATATCTTGAATAGCATGTACTCCTGAGCAAGTACTATCTGAAATTCTAAACTGCTGATCTTTGAAATAAAATTATTTCAGTTGTGGGTTTTTAATAAATTGAGATGAAAAGTAAAATCACCCCCCCACCCCCCTAACCCAGGAACAAAGAGTTCTTATTAAAGTATAGAAACTCAAGTCTATCTTTCTACGCTAAAGAACATTTCTTACTAACAATTCTGGTAAGGCAATAAATGCTCCAGAATAATCTTCAATATACGCTTGCAAAGATTACACTGTTTAATATCAATAACAAAAACAAAACAAAAAAAGGGAAAATAAGAAAAAAAAAGGAAAAAAAGAAAAGACGCTTCAAAATTTCAAGCTAAAATATGCATAAAAGACAGTCATGGCAGTATTTTTTGAAATGATGTAAATGTTATATACTTATCAAATGATGTCATGCTTATTAAAACTACAGTTAGGGACTTAAGAGATGAACAGTAAGTACACTGCTGAGGTCCATTTTTCTAAATATTCATACCACAATGTAATTACTACCCAGAAGATGATGATGCTACTTGGGAACATAAGTACTGTACAATTTTTACATTGTAAGGCACTTTTACTCAGCATGTGATGAAAACATGTATAGACAATCAAAATATTGGAAGTATACAACCAAAGGTAAATTGCATGTGACTTCAATTTACATTTCCATTTATAATGCAAGACTGTTTAGCCAATCACACCACAGTGAGAAAAATAGGTAGCCAGCCACTTATCTAGCCAACCAAAAGGTAAAGTGCTATTCTGGTTGCTAGTGGCAGAAAAAGGGTTGAAGAAACCCATATGAAGTCATACAAGTTATTACATGATAACTCTATCAACTGACAGTTAATAGTATTTGAAGTCCTTGACATGATTATTGACTGGCCACTTTTACCCCGACACCTTCCATTTTTCCTAAAAACATCATTACAGTAGTTGTCCAAAAATGAAGGTGCTCTATTGTTCTATGGGTAAATCTTATGGCACACAATGTAAAAATAATCTAGACACAGTGATTCAAAGAGTTAAAATGATGGGTTTCAAGCTGTTATAAGGAAATAAAATACAGATCCTTTGGGAAAAGTCACATAGCTTGGTAAACAAACATTTAGATCTGTCGCTGCACTTCAAGTCATGGTGAATTTAGAAAATCCATCACATACACACAAAGAAACCCAATGGCCTATTTAGAGCAAAAGGAGAAAACTTACAGGGCAACCCACTACTAAAGCTAGTTTCCTTCTAAAAATAACAAAAGATGGTTAAAATAAAGCAATCATTGAGTCCCTTTATTTAAGTACATGTGTGACTACACACTTGACAAATGTGACCTTAAGGGACTAGCAGTTAAAAATGATCAGTCATTAAGCACAGTGTAATTTTCCACCTGTTACGTTTTAACAAAGCGTTTCCATCAGCTGCAGAGTCTCCATGTACAGTCAAGTTGACATGTTATTTCTTGTTTGCTAATTTGCTTTAATGTGGTAGGGCTAACTAATGATTCAGGAATCAGAATCCCTACCCTCAATGTTGAGGTGCTATGGTAACATTAGGCAGACCACAACTAAAGTTTTTTGGTTTTGCCAATAAGAAATACATAAATGTGCTTCAGCAGGTAAGTGGAAGAAAATATCACTAGCTAGAAATGCCAGTCTGAAAATCCTTTCTAAAATGCTGGGTTCTTACCCTTTGAGAACAAATTTTGATTTGAGCCCTACCAGCAGGAAAGTAGGGCACAAAAGCCTATTTAATAGATAAGCAAAGCAATGAATGAAAACATTAAAAATATTAAATAAAGTTTCTAAAATAGTGGTCACAAAATTAAAAATAAATACTGTTTTATGCGAAGACGGTTTCTGACTCCTAGAGCACGAGGCCTCCTTACATGCTTTGGGCCAACAGGTGAAGTGTTCCACACAGCACGGCACTTGAGAAGATGGGGCTTCAGACATGGTGGCTAAAGTCCTCAGTGAGTGGTAACCCTTTAAATCTTAAAGAGGTTTAATTTGCTGTTGCCAAAAGTTAGTTTAAACTTGGAAGGATCCAATCATTTTGCACGAAGCTCTTTGTGTGACATAAAAAGAGAAGAGGTTTACAGTCAAGAGAATTTTGGCATAAGCACTGGAGCTCATAGCTTATAATCACCAGGTGCCGAGTTGATGCTGGTCAGTGAGAACAACTTTAACAGGAACCAAATGAAAGCTTTAGCACACTTCTTGGAAGAGATTTTTAGCATATGCTGTCAAAGCCAAGAGCAAAAGAAGGTTCTCTTCATTTCTAGCCTCCATTACTTGAATGTGGAAAAAAAATTTCACAAATTCCCAAGTGTTGCCTCCAGAGGCATATTTGCACTGTAAAGTGAAATTTGCTTATGCTTCCCCCTTGAGTATGAATCCACTAAACAAACTCAGACACTCTAAACAGTAGAACTTTGTTCAGTCCAGCATATAGCTTACTTCATTTCAATGTCTGCTTTAACTGTTGACACTATACACAGGGTTAATAGTGTTTCAATTGCTTTCCAGAAATTGCAAACTACAGCTATATAATATCAACATGTCAAACTCTGCCATCTAGTGAAGGCTCATAAAACAAAGAAGACGTTTTTTAGGCAGTTCAATGAAGGATCTAAGAGTCGGGCAGTAAAAAGTTACAAACCCTTTTTGATTTTAGAAAACAGTGAAAAAAGAATAGTAGTTATGGATGTCTTATTCATTCCCAGTTTTCTAACTCTGTGCCATGAACCTGTTTAAAAGATGATAAAAGAATGTAAAATATGATGTTTGAGGGGGAACACAATAAATATAATGCTACTGAGGTGCACAAATATCTTACTGCTCTGACATTACAACTACAATGGTTAATAGGGTAGATAGCTTTTATTACTGTTACAAAATCAGCTAGCTTAAAAAAAAAAAACAAACTATGCAGGACTCCACAATCCTCAGCTTAACTAACATGCTTAACTAACAGAGTAGCATTAAAAATCATACATCACTATTTCAACATCTATTTATCGGCGTGCACTGTATCCTGAAAACAGAGATGATATAATTAACTTTCATACCTAGTTTCCATTAAGTTGCTGTTGAGTTAGTTGCTGCTGATCAATTTCTACTTTTCCCCGGCTTTTACTCTCTCGTTCCTCATCTTCTTCATCTCTCTCATCATTTCCACTATGATTTTTACAATATAGTCTACAATGATGAAAGATAAAAATCTCAAGATGTTTTGTCATTGTTGAGGAGAATATATTTACTCAGTGGATGAGATGCCCACTGAACTTGTGGATTTCTCATCCACACTTAAAAACACACAGACACAGGTCCATTTCTACTTAAAAGATAGGAAAGCACTCTATTATTGAGATAATTAAGTTTATCTGAAATAAGAGGTTTAGGATGACACTATCTTATATGTATAAAAATAAAGCCATTCCTCATTTTGTGCAATGAAATTACAAATTAAGTTTTTGGCCAACTTTAAAATACCAACTTTTGGTATATAGGCAAAATAATAAAATTCTGTAATGTTTTATACATGCAATTAAAAGTATATTTCAGGAAGTTATAGTCCACATATACTGCTACTCTGTACTTACATTTTATTCCAACTACTCAAATGCCTTTTCATCATTAGCGGGCTGGCGTTCATTAAAACGCCTGCGAGAGTCACTGAATGCTGCTTTCCAGGCACTGCTTTTGGTCTGTGGTTTAATCTAGACTAATTCCTCCAAATTCTTTTTTTTTTTCCCACAATAGTCACTTTTTGAGAAGAATTAAGACTTTGAGAAGAACTGTCATCTACACCACATTCTGGATTTGTCTAACTGTGATACTGTTTTATTTGTTTTTTTCTCTCCCAATAGTTCCAGTACAATGGAAATAAGGTTAAAGGGCTTGGTTAGCTTCCAGTTCAACTTTTCTATGTTAGTCTTTGATACTCTGAAGTATGACCCTGCATAATTCAGGAGGATGTAATTTCAGATTGTACTTGCTATTATTGACAGTTTGATCATTTGGTCAAGGGGGGTGTGATGGACAGATCTCTTCATTGAAAAGGTACATTTTCCCATTTAGAATGAGAAAATAATCTCTGGAGTGATAATTTGACACCATGCTGCTCTGACAACCTTTTATACCTTCAGGGTGTACATACTGTATACTTGACCTTCACCCCATTTTTAATGACAAGAACACTGCAAGTGATTTTGGACAAGGGTTTGGACCATTTATAATATAATGTTTAATACCAATGTATATTTTTAACTACTCCCACCTTAATCAAAGAGGGGTGGGTTGATACTGCCTCAGTTCTAGGACAATTGAATACAAGATGGAACAAAGCTTAAAAAAAATGCTTCGTGGATGCCCTCTGGTGGCCAACAATGCACAATAAGTGATCACAGGATTCTGTCATAAATAATCTTAACTAAATTTTGCTGAAAATGTTCCTAACATATGAGTAGAATAAAAGGCACAAGCAGGGTAGGATTGGACAACCATAACAACTGGCTTCAGACTTAGTGTTGTAACATTTTCAGTAAAACTATGGAGAATTGGTATCTACAAATGCTGCATATTGGGAATCGTTTAAAAAAAATCACAAGTTTGAATATCAAGAATTCCTATATATTATAGCTGTAAAGTAAGTTGTCCCAAAATGTAACAGGAATCTAAGCCTTCTAACCAAAGTAGTTAAAAGGGCTTTCACCCCTTAATCTATCATAGAAAAAAATATCTCACCAGAACGCTACACACAGATCTCTGTCATTCTTTAATTGCCACGCAGTGTTCTAGTAAAATGCATGTACCAAAATGCATTCATTAAGTCTCCTGAAATTTTCTATGGTTCTTTTCTTTTTTTAATTCTTCTGCTAGTGTGGGTGAAAGGTTAATAAAAATCTCTTCCTGTTTTGCATGAGAGTTTGACCTTTGGTTAGCTCTAAGCTCTGTTCTTTGGCAACTTAATACAAATTGGTATGTGAACTATTTTAAAAACTAAGCTATGTTACTCCCAATTAGCAGACAATTCTAGATTGGAAGAACTGTAAATATTCTGATAAGAAATTGTATCTTTGGTTCTCTCTCAACATGGTGTCACCAGAACATTATCTACACCTACCTATAAACCAATGCCAGAAGAGGTGCTGGATCGATGGGGTAGGAGGCTTTTCAGACAGAGTGAACTGCATGCCTCTAATATGGATCGTATCTTACTGGACCTAAGTTGTGACTGCTATATTCACTGCTGTAAGGACTCCCACAAAAAAGCGTTATTTGATGTTGCCCCTGCTGGCAAGTTGTAGAGCTCCTTTCTGGATCCTTCTTAAGTAGACCAATAATATCTGTAGTAATCCTGACACTTTAGGATGCCCTAGAGAAGCTAAATGATTCAATGCAATAAGAGTTGCACACACATCTTAGTATTGCATGCTCACTTCTCTGAGATAAAGACTAGTAGCTAAAGGTTTTAGTTTTCAATGATACATTGCTTTCCTAAAAGGCTGTACCAATTTATATCTTACCTTAGCACTGAATGAAAATGCCAGTGTCTTCAAAAGCTAACTAATATTAGATAAATGCTACTAAGGTCTGCCTATCTGATGGGCAAAAATTGCTAAGATCTTATTTTCACCTGCATTTCCTTCATTACCTACAAGGTTCAACAGTGTTCCACATGCACATAATAACCTATGGCTATTTCTTATATGAACTGCCTGTTCATGTCCTCGACTCACATTTTAATCAGGTTGCATTTTTCTTCATTATTTGGAGTTCTCTTCATACAGTCTAATATTAATGAAGTGAAATAAAAACAGTATCCCACTGTGCTTAGGAAAGGCCTTCTATACTAGAGATTATAGAAAGGTCTTCTACAGGTTCTACTCAAACAGTTTTACTTTTCAGTTAGATTTTAATCCAACTAAGATTTATTTTTGGGTACAGTTTGAAGTACGGAGCCAATATTTTTCTAAATATATATCAGGTACTGAATAATTCATCCTGTCACCACAGAAATTTAATACTATAATAATATAAACAATTCCATCAAAGAATGGAACTCTTTCCTGTGATCTTTGTCACTGTGCCAGTGCCATACTATTTGATTACTTTAAGACTGTTTTCAGTATAAAATATGGAACGTTTTGTCAATTGCAATATAATTTTTCTTGCTGAATGTGCTAGACTAGCTGACTACCCCAATGTCATATTTTCCCCTTCCCTCTAAAGTGCTGGATCATATTTTATTTGGATAGCCATATGCCCAATACAAGTATAATTCCTAGCCTCCCTTGGACATGCAACTCCATTCTGGACAGTGACATGTAGAACAGAAGTGTGTGGGATTTCCTGACTAAAGACATCTCAGCTGGAGAACAGTCACTCTGTCCTTCTATTTCCCTTTGCTCCAAGGCCCCAAGGATGGGAGAGCAGAAAGATGGTAATCTGGTACACTAAAAGGATGCTTGCTCTGTCTTTTAGAGGAGAAACATATTTCTATCTTGAAGTATCTAAAAAGTTCCCATTATAAAATAAAGTAATTAAATAAATACTAATAGAAAATCATATCACATTTATTTTTACTCTCCTAATAAATCTGTCAACAATTTGGACTTGATTAAATTTTATTGTATTTTGCTATTCATTTGGACCCTGTGTAGTATGTTTTTTTAAAAGAAAATGTAGTAAGTATTCAAATAAGATTAGACCAATTGCAAGTATAGGGCTCAATGTGGAAAACTAAAGCAAAATTTTAATATGGAAATCAGTTCTTTTCAGAGGTTCTCTTATTCTGCCATACCAATGCTTATGCTGGCTAATATGATTTGTGTCCTTCCCCTTACATTCTTATTAGTATTTTCCCTTCAGTGTGTTAGATAGATTAGAATCCTCGGTAGCTCGAGGGTTCACTGTTCAGTGAACAGAAAATGTAAACAGCAGGTTACACGTAAGATTACACATATTTAAGGACTTTAACCAGGTAAGATGTTATTTGACCATATTAAATGCTAACTACTTCTACAAAAAAAAAGAAAATGTACTAAGTATTTAGTGTGTGTATGCATGTAGGGAGGGGTAGATGAGCATTTTTTCCCTTTACATTTAACTATTACTGTTTTTAAAAATTCATCTTTGATTTTTTAGGTTGACATTATCAATAACAAATATTAACAATTTTAGTTTTCTTCTCTATAATGTCTATTATACATTTTTCCTCCTTTTCTTGTTGTACTGGCTTAACCCTCTAGAAAACATTAAATAATATTGGCCATTGGCACCCTTGTAGTCTTGTTCCTGATCTGAATTAAAGTGTATCGGTACAGTGGTTTTCAATTAAAGAGGAACATGAAAATCACCCAGGGAGTCATTAGAACGTGGTTCTGGACCTCAATACACTGAATTTAAATTTGAGGGTGGAGCCAAAGTGGGAAATTTTTTCCCTAATAAATGACACGCACTATATAATATTAGTTTCAGGTGCACAATGCCACGCTCTGACATTTGTAGAGTGTGCAAAATTATCATCACTGTAAGCCTATCTGCCATCTAAGCAATCTTTCTAATTTGCAACACTATACACTGTTGCCTATGAGTTCCATGCTGTATACATTCCCCATGACTTTTTTTACCCTAAAATCTTTACTGTTTAATATAAACATTTATTTAGGTAGTTATTTTCAGTCACTGACATAGAAAATATTTTTATTAAAGTATACTGACATTTATTTTGTAACTGGAAATTTGTGCCACTTTAATCCCTCTTCACCTATTTCAATCATCTCCCCACCACCAAATCTCCTCCTCATTAGTAGCCACCAATCTGAGGAACATTTCTAAAGAGGCCCTATGTTCCCCAGGTGATTTGGAGCTCAGTCCTAGTTAAAAACCATTGTTCCTCTTCTTGTGGTCATTTCTTAAATGTACTGTTAAGAATCCCAGCTTGTCAGAGATGTTTATTAAAACTTAGAAATGAAAAATAAATAAAATTTGGAAATGGAATTTAAATGGTACCAAGTATCTTTTCAACATTAACCAGGAAGGTTTTTCTTTACTGTATAAATTAGAATAGATCACATTTATCCATTTCCTAATTTTGAACAGTCTCCAAGCTGCTAGCATACAGTACTGGAACTTATTTTTTTCTAACAACTCATTGAGGCTTTTTGGAATGTATTTATAAAAGTTAGATGGACTTATATCTATTTTTAATTTTTGTTTTAAAAATACTATCTTTATCAGGTATGGTATAAGTTATGCAAGTTTTATAGAATAGACCAAGAGGTTTCTTTCTTTTGTTATGAGCTAAATCTCTAAATATCACTAGAGTGATGTGTTTCTGATGGCTTGACAGAAATCACTAAAAGAGCACCCATGCCTTTATTGTTAAAGTTTGGCAAGCTTTATAAACACAACATTAGCACTTCATGTAGTCACCCATATGACTGGCTGACTGCTTGCACAAACTGCTTTGCGTGCGAAGTAAGAGACCCTGGGGCAGGGATTTACTGCTCACAGGGCATGTGAGTGGAAGTATAATACAACTCACAAAGGCAAATCAAATCCGAGATTCCTACCAATTTATACTCCATTTGATTCAACAAAAGGACCATTAAAGATACACATTTATACCACTAACGCAATGTAGGATGGGTAAAGAAGACCCATTAAAGATGGGGTAGCACTTAATCAGAAATCTCCAAATCTACTTTCATCATCCTTCTCACAGCATCTTGAGTTCTATATTCAAACCACAGCCTGTCCCAGATCTCAGCGATTCCACCTGGGCCCTCAGCAGTGGCCTATAACTCACCTTCCCACTTGCACCCTTGCTCCTGTCCCACCTACGAATCTTGTATTTGCTATTCTCTGCCTACCACACCAGATTCATTTTTATCCTTCATTTCAGTTCCAGCACTACCTCTGTAAGGAAGGTTCCTAAAGATTCCCAAATTACAGAGTAGATTAACTCCTCGTTATATGCTCTCACGGCTCTCTGTAACCTACCCTTTACAGTACTTACTAATGAAAATTTATTACATAATACTTATTCGTGTGGCTACTTAATAAATGTCTCTCCAAGTGGACTGTCAGTGCATGAAGGCACAACCTGTGTCTACTATGATCATTGTTATACACTCAGCCAACAGCACAATGCCTGGCACATAGTAAACGTACTAAATACTGGTTGAAAAAAATGCTAATTTAGGGATTGACGTTCAGAGGAAAATGCCAACTGCAGTAACCATTTCTTGCAGAGAACTTGGTATTCTATACTTGGCACAAAAACCAATGAAGAATAGTGATCAAGTAAACTAATGTCATCTATTTAAGGCAGTTATTTAGTGACAAGTCCAGGAAAATGGATATTTTCTTACTTGTAAATTCCTCGTGACATATTTTCAATGTATTTAGCTTTGTCTTGTACTCCACAGTGGTAATGGTAAGTCTTAACACAGGCTTTTATTTCACATCCAATAGTAGCACCAGGCTGACTGCAAAGTGTACATTTCTGTTTAAGGGGAGAGAAAGAATAATCATAAGCAATATGACAGTTTATACAATGTTATTTATTCTAATTTTAGCCATACTTTAGCCAAACATTCCAGTTTACAGCCAATTTTCTATTGAAAAAGAATGCACTGAACTTTTTAGAGCACAAACAATGCTACAATTTAAACCATATTTTGATAAACTTCCTAAGATATCATCCCCTGCTTTCATTATTTAATTGTACTAACCATCAGGGATCTGTCATCTAAACATAAAAAAGACAATACTTAATGTTGTAAAACTGCCAAGTACACAAAAAAAAGGATACCCTATATTTTAGTGTTAACTTTTCTTCCTCCCTGGGATCAGCTCCTTTGCTATTATGATGGGGGAAAAGAATGAAAAGAAAGGAAAGCAATTCCCCCAGAAAGGGACTGCTACTAAGCAAGCAAAAGAGCACAGGGAGACTACAGGGGCTGCAATCTTTTGAAGACTTCTCAGTTTGGTCCAGATCAGCCTTCCCTCAAAACATGTTCTCAGATTCAAAGGTAATTGTTGACAAGGTTTGCTAGTGAAATAAATTTGAGAAATGCTAGTTTAAACAGATTACTTGATTGCAGTATTTCTCAGCCTTTTCTCCAGAAAGGAGGCTATAGTAAAGTTTATTGGGGTCCAGATGCGCTTTTATTTTTGGAGGGATGCCAACAGCATTTTGGCAAATTAATTTCCTTTGGAGTATATATGGCAAAATGCTATGTTAGTGTTTACACTATTTCAATAATGTAGAGGTGGATAAGTCGATCAAAGAATTTATCATGGGATCTAGCCTTCCAGGTGAGGATCTTCATCACCTAGTTGGACTTTGTTTTATCATACAATATTGCTCTGTATGGTATGAAGAGATCTCAATAGTAATATTGTTTAGTAATATTGTTGTTTTAAAGGAGCTTGATTTTTAAAAGAGCAATCAAAGTGTCAATGAACTGGATTTAAATGGAAACAGGTAATGTCAACAATCTTTAAAACTTCTAAACTGCAGTTCCACAAAAAAGGGTCATTTCTAATGGATTCAAACAAATATCATCAATGTCTGAAACTACTACATGAAAGACTGAAGGGAAACTTCACAAGGAGGGATCAGACTCACCACCTGAATCCAAGAATCAGACAGTATTATCTGTCTGGTATCATAAAATATGGGTACAGCTTAATCTGTGATGTATTCTTGACCCCCAAATGTTAAAACTGAATCTAAGCGAGCTTTACATTTATCTAATTTCCACTTTAAAAGAAAATCTGGCGGATAGAAGAACAAGTTAAATGGTATCATGAATAAGCAAACAGACAAAAATGCAGGACATTCTACAGGACAATAAATTCATTTTCTACAACGAGACAATGGCAAACAAAGACAGAAATAAGAGACAGGGAAGAGGGCGTGCCCTAGCTCACTCAGGGGCTACATAACATCCACATCTAAAGAGGGGGTCCTCCTTTGGATTCTGATTCACACAAATCAACCTTAAAAAGATCTCTGTGAGACAACTGGGGCAATACAAATACAAACTGGGTGTTAAATGACACCGAAGACTTGTTAATTGATAAGGTGTAATGACGTGGTTAGGTAAGAAAATGTCCAACTTTTAAGAGATACATACTGAAATATGTAGAGGTGAAATGATATGAAGTCTCAGCTCTGCTTTAAAATACTTCAAGCAACAAGAATAAAAGGAATAGATGAAACGAGTGCCGCAAATTCTTGATAACTGATGAGTCAAGGTGATGGATAGACGTGTGTTACTAGTTTTTCTAATTTTGATGTTTGAAAATTTCACAATAAAAATTTTTAATTAAAGTCATTTCTAGAGACAATTGCTCTTAAAGATTTTGCATTCCACTGACATTTCATAAGGTTCATAAACTATAAAGGAGTAAGCGATCAATAAAGATGCCAATATTTCTTAAAGCTATTTATTAGTAAATTCAGTATTTTTAAAAACATGAGACTTAGGCACATTTTATAAAGGAAACTTTAAAGCTATGATTAACATTTTAAAAGACATAACTGTGTATGTGTACTTTAAACAGAAAGCTCTGAAAGAGTATTTTTTCCTTTTATTAAAAAAATGAATAACAACATGGGGGAAGTTCTGAATATTCTATCAGGGTTATGGAATTTTTTCAAGCAAGCTTAAATAATATAACATTTTAAACTTAATGAGGTGTGTCACATTCACATCTTCATTTATTTTATTAAGACTCAAATGTTCTGAAAAAAAATCTCAGTATAATTCTCTTAAGTAACGAAATTACAGAGAGAAGAATAAGTTTCAGTAACATCAGCATCTTTTATTATATTACAAATAAGTCAATATATATTTTGCTTTAACATACGAACTATTTTATATTACTTTTTTAAATTACTGGGTAAGTTTGAGATGTGTTCTAGATCTAAAGCAGAAAAGCAGAAGAGTATTGTTGCATAACATAATATATAAAACCACAGACCATTCTTTTTCCTCGTTTAATCTCCTGAAGTACAGTCTTAATATCAAAATCTCCAAATTCTGCTCTTGATGTTGTTGTAAGCTGGACTGTACCAGAAGAAAATAACTAGAGAAAAAAATGGAGGAACATTTAATATTCAGAATCCTTGTGAGGACAAGATCAAATAATCTAATTACAAATATGTTATATTACTTTGATATCCTGAGAAAGATAGCTTTTCTTAATAATCTAGCATCATGGTGGCACAGAGGTTAAAGTTAAAGCCTCAGCACTATCAAACTAATGCAAGCCACTGTGACATGACTTTGAACCCCAGCCAGGGAGCTGGCCCACATGGCACAGCAAGACCTTTCTTGTCTCATCCACTGCTCCCTTCAGCAGTGCATTCATTAGATCTGCCTGTTCTGCTCCCCAATCTGTCTCTGGTTAATCCTCTCACCTCTGTACTTCTGAACTACACCCCCATCTTATAGGCATACATAAATAAAAATCTTCAAACAATAATAATCACCCACCAACTTATATATTTTTGGCATATTCACTTGGCTGGTTAGAATACCCAAATTTGCCAGCATGGAAATCAGGATAAATACTTCATTAAACAAAGATGATTTCAATGGCAACCTTTATCTTAACTGTTTATATTTCCAAAGTTTTAAAAAGTTGAAAAAGGCAAATTTTAACCATAAATGCAGATCAGAATCACCTGGAGACTTTTATTTTCATATTAGACATGTCTGAGTTACTCCAGGAGGATCTAGGTGCACACATTTCAACAAAAGTTCCCCAGGAAAATACGATATGCACCTCTGGTTAAGAACATTTGCTATGTTATAATTTAAAAAATCTAATCATAAATGGGGTGAATCATTCAATACAATCTAATTTTAAAATGTTTAGGTATACTGTATGTCAGGCTTGGACCTAAGGCTGCAAAGGTTCTCAAAGAATTTAAGAGTCTGTTGGGAGAAACAGTCTCATAATGAAAAACTGCAATGCAGTGAGTTAGACCAGTAATAGAAGATAGCAGAGGTCAAATACATCCTTCATGACACCTTTATAAAGCCGGAATTTTTTAGTCACGAAATAAAAAGTACCCTATCTGGTTACTGCTAAATGCTTAAAACACACACACACCAAAAACTCCGTCTGGAACTATGCCTACCATGCACTTATAATGCGCAGCTGCTTTCTTAGCATTAAATATATGCAGTTTTCCTCTTGCTTCATTTTCTTCTTCCCCTACATGACAAAATCCACATTTAGGTCTGGTGTCACTAGGGCTGCTTCTGTGTGGAGACCTATCCCTCTGCAGATGTAAAAACAACAACAACAAAAAGAAATGAAAATATGCTATCAGTACTGCAAACTTAGTTAACATTTCAAATGAGGAACCCTACCCATAAACATAACTTAGATGAAATCTTCACGGTGCATTAGAAAGTAAGAACATTCTCTACTCACATAAGAACTACTTTCCATTTCATCTGTTCCATGGGAAGATGTGGACCTGGTATCTTCCGACAGTCCTTTAAAATTAGTTTTTCGTGGCCTTCCTTTGCGACTTTTCTTTTTACTTTTAGGTGATGAGGGCTCCAGTTCATGTTCATTAAAACTGTCTTCTAAATCAGCTGCTTAAAAATGAATAAAAACTTTACATGGGCTAATCTTAAAATGAGCACTAGTTCTTGGGTCCTCAAAACACACGTTTCTCCTTAGAATGAAATTGCCTCCAAGAAGAAATGGTTTGCATTATGCTCAATAAAACAACCTAACATTTCATATAAATGGACCAAAAATCAAATACAGAAGTTTTACTATAAGCACTGTAACATTATTCTCTTCAAATCTATGTCTATAAAAATGAGTTTTGTGATCTTGACATTTCAAACACTAGTAAGTCAGTATTTAAAATTGTCTCCTTTATTTATACCACAGGTGCCAAAAAGGTTTATCTCACCCTGTTGCTGAAATTAGAACAAGTACTTAGAAAATAAACTGACTATAACTTGAAAACCTAAATGAAAACAAAGTAGATAGATGTACCTGTACTGTGCGATGTAACAGCAACTAGCAACAGGTGACTTTAAAAAGTTTCAGTCACTTAGTCCATAGCTAATTGGAAACTTCAGCTTCTCAGTCACAGTGACCACATTTCAGGTGTTCATTGTCACATGTGACACCACAGAAATGTTCTATCAAACAGCACTGCTCTTGATAAACAAATGTCACGTATTAAAGGAATTTCTAATGTAAGTGGCAGAAAACTGCTGCAAGTGGTTATGTATATTTTAAAGGAAATATGGAAATTTTAGAACTGCATTTCCCATGAATTTGAAAAATAATTTCTACCATCCAAAGAAAGTATTTCACTCTTATTAAATACAAGAATTTTATTTATTGAGGGTCTACTGTACACAAGAAAATATGTTTAGTGTTCAAGAAGTTATAAAAACCAACTGATCATTAGTCTTAGGGTCAATCTATAGGAAGTTTTAGGCATAGTTCTTAGTATCTTCATTGTTTTTTCCTTTTACTGTAAGTTGATGACTGTACTTCCAGTGGTTAATTTCTCAGTAAGAAAATAAATTAGACCCTCCCTGGTGGTGCAGCGGGTTAAAGCACTGCACTGAGAAGCTAAAGCCACTTCCGCATGAGTTCGATTCCCGCCTGCCCTGGAGGTGACCACATGGTGCGGCAGACCTCTCCTGACCCGCCCACTGTTCCCCTCAGCAGTGTACTTTGTCCATCTGCCTGTTCTGCTCCCCACGCTGTCTCTGGTGAAGCCTCTCACTGCCCCTGAGCCTCTGGCCTGTACCCCACTTCTGTATGCACAAATAAATAAATCTTAAAAAAAAAATAAAGTAAATTAACTTCTATTTTCAATGCTAATATCTTATGTAGCACATACTTCAAAAGTTTTTGCTTTTTCAGAAGTGAAAGCACATGTGTTGTGATAAGAAAAGGGTAATTCAATTAGTATACTTAAATATACAAATTCCAAGAATTGAGAACATTAGATTATTTGGAAAACATTTAATGATATTTGAGGGACAAAGGAAGTGGGAAAGGTAAAGGTATCAATGAACAGTGCTTTACAGGCAGTAAGACAAATTCCTGTGACTAATCATTCCTCTGAAGACAGAAGTTAAGCAAAGCTGTCTTCTTATCTGAACACTACAGCAAATTCTGCATCACAATACACCACCTACTTTAAACATTCCATTTTTAAGACAGAATTTCATTAAAGTTGTTAGAATTACTTGTACTTGCTAAAATTTTTAAATTCTTAGAATGAAATCATGACCAAATGTTTCATTTTGATATGTCATGTAATACATACATACATACATACATATATATATAAAATTCTGTTATTTACAATGAAACAAATAATCACTAACACTATAATACTATATTATTAAAGAGCTAAAAAGGAATTGCTTAACTGATTCCACTATCTGGCCAACTTTACTAACTCTTCATATGGCTTCTTTGCCCTAAATATGGAATCCCTCAGTATAAAACTTTAGAGGATTTAACAGTGATAGTTCAAAAAAAAGTGAAAACATACAAAGAATTGATAGATTTAACTATAAAAGGTTTTCAAACTAATAAATATAAAAAAGAAAGAATAAACTGGAAAGAAATTTGTACTTGTGACAAAGGATTCTTAGTATTTCATAGTATAATCTGATAAAAGATGAAGACCCCTCCCCCCAGAAAAAAAAATTAAGCAGGCCTCCCCAGTGGCCTAGGGGTTAAGCCTCAGCTCTATCACCACTAGGGGCCTGAGTTCAATCCCCAGCCAGGGAGCTAACTCACATATGGTACAGCAAACCTCTCCTGTGTTGCCCACTGCTCCCCTTAGCAGTGTATTTCAGTAGATCTGTCTCTGTTCTGCTCCCCATCCTGCCCTGTCTCAGGTGAATCCACTCAATTCCCTCCCACCCCACCCCCCCACTTCGGGCCTATACCCAATTCTTCTACACACACATACACACAAAAAGCGCGGAGGATACAGACTGGATTATTCTTTAAAGAAAAGAAAAAAAAGGATTAAGCATGTGACTTAATAACTCACAGAATGGGGCCCTCCCTTGTGGCCCAAGGAGTTAAAGCACAACACTAAGAAGCTGTCCACAGTCACTGCAGTGGGAGTTTGATCCCCAGCCAGGGAGGTGACTCACACGGCGCAGCAGACCTTTCAAGTTTTGCCCACTGCTCAGCAGTAGATCCAGCAGTGTTTCAGCAGATCTGCCTGCTCTGCTCCCCACTCTGAGTCTGGTGAATCCTCTCAGGTCCCCCTTATACCTGTGGCCTGTACCCAAGTTCTGTGTGCATAAGTAAATAAAATTTTAATAAATAAATAAAAATAAAACACTGGCACAGGAAATCAAGAGAAGAGACTAGCAAGGTTGAAAATCAACCCTGATTGTATCTGGGAATCCAGAGGCGGTAATGGCGACGTTTCAAATGGGCAGAGGAAAGACACAACAGCACAAGTGGCGATCTGTTTATTGGAACTGAGATTCCTTTTCTCACATCCACTACAGATGAATTAACAAAGAATCATAAAATAACAAACTACAAATGATAATAGAAGAAAACAAAAGAGAATGTTTTGTATCAAAGTCCGAAGTTGAAAACCCCAGAAACACTAAATGAAAATATTGAGATTTGACTAAAAATATAGAAATTTTTGTATGCAAAAAGCACCATAAACTAAGTTAAAAGAAAATGATAAATTAGAAAGTCCTTTGTATGGAATGATAGAATCAATATCTATATTACAGAAAGAACTATGATTCAATTTTTAAGACAAACTTCAAGAGAAAAACGGCAATTTCACAGAAGAAATAAAAATGACTAAAAATACAAGAACAGAAGCCCAACCTTACTAGCATTAAGAGGAAATGGGAATTAAATGACATAATGGGATTAGCAAAAATTAAAGACTGAAAATATTTATCGTAGATATGAGGAACCGGACCCTTTCATATACTAATGGTAGCAGCATAAAGTGGGTACATGTGCCAATACTTAATCCCAATGTTAAATGCACAGACCTTTTCCCTGGAGATCCATTTCTAGAACTTTATCCTACAGAGCCACCTGTATAAATACACAAACATGTATGTACAAGGAAGAGCAAGGCAGTTCCATTTATCCTTATGAAAGAAATACATGTTACTGATTTTTGCTTACAGAGAAATTCTTCAATTATTCTAAGGTATATAATATAGCTGTTAAAAAGAATAAAGTTAATCTATATGCACTTATAGTTAAGAAAGTCTGCAATCTATCATAGAATGAATAACATGATATATACAGACAGACAATGATGCCATTGTATTAAAACAGAATGAGATTTGGGGATTAAAAGATGGGTTTTTATGAACCTATCTGTTTTAATTCAATAGTAGTTTTATACTATTTTTTAAAAATTAGTACTTATGGCCCTCCCTGGTGGCATAGCAGGTTAAAAAGCACAGCACTAAGAAGCTAGCCACTTCAGCATGAGTTCAATCCTCCGCCAAGGAGGTGATCCACATGGCGTGGCAGGCCTCTCTTTACTCACCCGCTGCTCCCCTGAGCAGTGTGCTTTGTTGATCTGCCTGTTCTGCTCCCCACTCTGTCTCTAGTGAATCCTCTCACCACCCCTGCCCCTCTGGCCTGTACCCCAGTTCTGTATGCCTAAAAAAATAAATCTTTTAAAAAATTAATACTTATACCAAAGTACACCCTTTATAACTAAAATAACATATAATATCCAATGTGGTGAGAGGAGGGGTTAAGGTCCAATTGATAGAATGTAATCTAGCGTATTCCTCTGAGAAAAAGCAGTATGGCAGTATGTATCAGGAACCTTGAAAAGGCTGAACCCTTTTGACCCAGTGATTTTATTTTACCTAAAATAATTAAAATCACACATGAAAATATGAACACAAAGCTAGTCATAGCACCACTGTTTAAATTATCCTTGCTTACTTTCCCTCTCATTTAAAATTGAAAATGTCTTAAAATTTTAGAAAGTAATTGCTGTACTTAGTAATTATTAAAAACTATATACACAGTGAAAAGTGAAACTCTTCCTTTCTACTAGATTCTACCTGCATTGCAAGCCCAGCTGGTGCCCTAGATTTCTTGTTTCCATCCGTTCTTATATACTCCCTCCCTTCCTCCTTTCAAGGCAACTGTTATCTGCTTCTTTTCTCAACTTCAAGGGCTAAGAACCCAAGATTTTGAATCCTGCATGTGTTCTTGGCCTGAGCCCTACTTCAGGATTCTTGAATGAATTAAATGAATTAGGTCATGTACTTAGAAAGTTGCCGAGCACATAAGCCCTGCTCAATATCAGCCATTATTTTATCTGTATGCACAAATGTGCTCTTCTAATTGAATATACAAATGGTATTCTAAGCATAGTATTCTGCATCCTGCCTTTTTCCACTTAGTATAAGAATTGGAAATACTCAAAATAATAAGTTAACATTTGAGCTTTCTGGATACCAGAATTGCTACATAGTTTATATGACTCATGGCTCCTACTCCCCACTTTAGAGATAAAATAAGTTCAGGGCCTCCCTGGTGGCCCAAGGGGTTAGGCTATCTAGGTTTGAATTTGGCA